TTTGCCCTTCCTTCCCAGAAGCCTGGAGAAAAGGCCCTCCATCCCAGCTCTGCCCTTTCCAGCAGCCGTTTTCCTGGTGCTTTGGCAGAGGTGAGTGCACCGGAATGTTTGCATTTCAGCGGCACTGCTGCCTCCGGTGCCCATGCCAGGGACAGGGATGGAGACCCCACGGAGACAACCCACCCAAAGCCAGGTCTGCACGGCCCCAGGGAGAGCTCTGCGGACACGGGCAAGGCACCTTGTGTTTGCACACCCAGTCCCAAGGCCAGCAGCGTGACCAGGAAACAAGCCTGTATGAGGAAACCTGACGGCATTTCTTGCCCAGTTATGCAGAACTCATTGTCGGCAATACTTACACACACACACTCCTAAGCCCGTGATGAGGCAAACCAGGCTGAAGGGGCAGAGGTGCCCTCACAGCCACCTTCACGGGCTTCCCGTCACACTAATGCCTTCACACTAATGCCCCTTTTCCAGCACAGCTTCCTGCCACGGTAAGGCCAAGCCCCTTCTTGCTCTCAGCCCCGGATGCTCAGCCCTGGGGAAGGTGGGCAAGGAGAGGATGGGCAACACAACCTGCTGCCCGTGCGTCTCTCGTTCCGGGGGACAGAATGCTCCTAGGGATGGCGGATTTCTACCTGGAGGGCATTGACATGCGCTGCTACCACAAGGGCAACCTCAGAAACCCCACTCTGAAACCAGTCGCTGACCCTGGGAGAGGGAGGAAAAGGGCTGGCCCGCACAGCGGGGCTGGGGACGGCAGAGCCCACGCGCAGCCTTGACCTGTGCGCGCCCAAACGCTGCCAACCAGCACGCAGGCTCCTCTCTCGGCAAGACTGTCCGCTTCACGTCTCAGCTCTGCCCAGCCCCTTCTCATCCACGAGGCCAAGGAGCTTCGGCAAACCCCAGCATGGCTGCGGCAGCTCACAAGACATTTGCAAACGCTACCAGCTCATCTCACAGTCCCCAAGGGAACACATCCATCCTCCGCAGAGCTTTCCACCGTGTGCAAAGATCATTGGGCCCCCATTCCCCTGAGAGAGTCCGTTTCCCTTCCTACCAGTATCCCAAGTGCTCGGGAGGCGTGTGGAGATGTAAGGTAGGTGCTGGGGGCTGTCCTTGCTCCAGTAAAGGATGAGCAGACCCAGCACTGGAGCAGCTGGGCAGCCCTGGGAAGCGCAGCCAAAAACCAACAGGGCAGCAAGAGACAAGCACCTGCACGGACAAAAGAGCTTTCCCAGGGAGCTCCAGGCATCGCAGACACGTTTCCCTCTCAGCAAGCAGCTGCCATTTCCCTGGGGAGGGGTTTGACCTCCCCATGCCACCAGCAGAAGCCAAGGGCCAGTGTCCAGACAAAGCTGCTCTAATCTGGATTGTTTTAGAGAGCTGCAAGAGCAGCAGCGAGCAGTGGGGCAGTGAGGGAGAGAGTGGGATTGGCACATAGATGGAGGAAAGGGGCAGCAAGGAGCGGCGATGCAGGACCTGCCAGTACGGGGAGCATCTCTGCTTCACTTGACGCTGTCAAGAGCAGCGTGCAGAGGGTTTGACAGCCTCGAGATGTGGCAGCGGGCACAGCAGATTTAGCAGTGCTGATGGAAGGCAAGAGAGGAGGGTGGGAAAAAAGATTTTGCCAAAAGAAAAAACCCTAAACCACAAAGTATTGCTGAAAAAAGGACAAAATCCCTTCCCCCAGCCCTCTGTGGCACGTGTTTGCAGGAGGCCCCTCTTGGGGACCACATTCGTCTCTTCTCAGCTCTTCATCTATCATGGGATGACAAACATGAAAAGAAAAAACCCAAATCTTTTGTGCTGCTGTTAAGAGACAAAAGCGAAACAGTCTTAGGCACAGGTACTTATAAAGATGCGAATGCTACCAACAGCGCTCAATGTATTTGCCCTCTGTTTACACAGCTGTGTCCCTGCCACGGGAAGCAAGAGGACACACTTATGGTTGTCTTCAGAGAACAACGCAGATGACGGAGCTGACAAGCTCTGCGTGCTTTTGCTGTTACCAGACCAGACATCCCAGCAAGGGCATTAGATTCCACCTGGGAACACTTGCTTTGAGCTCAGCCCTTTGCTCACCATTTTATGAGGTAGTAAAAGGCAAGAAATCTCTCTTTGGGTGTCAGACTCGAGTAGGGAAATTGTGCTCTGTGCCTTAACCAGACACTCAACCCTCGCTCACGAACAGCAGTGACGACAGGTGATGGATGTGTAAGCAAACACTGCTCAGTCTCCTGCTTCCAGGAAAGCAGCTCCCACAGGCAAATGCTGTTGGCTTACTGGGGCGAGGCTCGGGAAGAGTCTCACATGTGCAAGGAGCCTGTCAGCTCCCAAGCGAGCTGCCGCCCACACCCTTCACAGCGTTTGCCCTTCCACGGAGTTTGGTTCAGGCTCAAAGTGCCCCAAGGCTGCTGCAAAAACTTGGGCTTGGGATGGAGCAAGGGAGGACCCCTTCCCGCTCCCCCTCCTTGCAGGAGAACTGGCAGTGATGCCCGAGATGCTGGCTGGCACCAGCCCGGCTGGCAAGGAAGGGTAAAGCAAAGCCCCGCGCGCTTCACATCGCTGCCCCTCCTCCTGTCCAAGGGGGCCTGCTCGGGGTTCTCCCTGCCCAGGGCGCCAGAGCGGTGGCATCACTTATCCCTCGAGGCACAGGTTCCCCCCGCACTGAGGCAGAGGAGGCCACGCTCTCCTCCTGAGAGCTTGAGTCAGAAATATTTTGGACCCCATGGAGCTCAGGATATTTTATGCCCTGTGCAAGGCTCTTGCACTCACCCCTCTGGAGACAGTTTGCCGATGCCCATCTGGCTGCCCCAGAGCGTTAGGCTGCAGCTGGCCAAGGAGGGGCACCCAGGCAGCTCATGGCAAATCAAAGCCTGGGGCTCACCTGTGGTCACTAACAGGAACTGGAGGGAACTGGGAGCTACTGGGATCCAGCTTAACACATTTCTCACGGTTTATGTTTCTCCTGGCAGGGCAGGGATCATCTTCTGGGTAAGTTTGGAGCTCAGAGGAGCTGCTTGCAGAGCAGGAGGCACTGGAAGCATCACAGGCACCAGTAAAGCTCTGGGCTCTTTCTGGTGCGCTTTGTGTGCGTTGTCAGCGTCTCCCAGTCATGCAGATCTGAACTGAACACAGAACCACCTCACGGGTGCTGCACACAAGTGATAAACTTCAGTTTAGGGTGTTCTAGAGCATGTATTTTTCAGAATCGCCATCTTACGTGTTCTTCACCATCTTGGCTGTTTTCTTCTCTCCTCACCAGCACCAGACACAGAGGGAGACAACATAGATCCCAAGACCAAGCTGTTTCAGAAGCCTGGCTCACTCCATCGCCCAGCGGTGGGGACAAGGAGCAGAGGCACCATGGAAGGAGTGCCAGGCTCACAGGAGCTCTGCTCTAGCCCTTGGGTGAGTCACTTCTCCTCAGCGTGACTCAGCTCCGCTCACCGCACCGCCTCCTCGGCTCTTGGTACCACATTCCCCAGGGAAGGATGACGCCCTGACAGGAAAAGAGGGAGGCAGGGCAGCCCCCGGCAGTGCCACAGGCAGAGGGACCTCCCCTCCAGAGACTGGGGAGGGGATGCTTTTGTGCAGCTGAAGCTGGCTAAGTTTCAGTAGAAAAAAAAAACCCAAACCAACAAACAAAACGATTGTTGTCAGACTGGTTTGAATGTAAGAAAATCTCTTAGCCAAACAAAATAGCATCCCGTTATCGTTCCTTCGTTTGGGGCTTGATAAGAGCAAATAACTGTGCTCAGGAGCTTTGTCCCCACACTGCCCAAAGCTGCAAGCACATGCAGGCAGCTGAGAGAGTGGGGACAGAAGGAGCCAGAGCACCCAGGCTCACCCACACCCCGCAGGAGCCCAAGGCCTCGCATGGCAGTTCTGCCACCCCAGCAAACCCTGCCATGGGCATCAGACAGAGCCCTGGTCACTGTGGGACACTCCCGCTGCCTCCTCTCCTCGTGTTTAGCACACAGGGCCCTGAAGCGACGATTATCTTATGACGCGTGTTGTCATGGTGCCTCACACAAACGAGACCTGGCCCAGACTGGGGATGTTGAAGTGGTCCCGCAGAGGTGAGCGCAACACGGCTTCCGAGCCCTCGCTGCCTGCCTGGCAACCGAAATCATCCATCAAATATAAACAGAGAGGGACAAAGCTCTCCTTACCTGCCAGGATCTTTCCTCTTCTCTGCGGCGCAGTCTCCCTTGCCCTTTTCCATCTCCTGCAGGAGGGCCATTTGGATGGGGGTGCTTCTACCATCGCTGCCGGTGCTGCCCCGGTGCTGCCGGCCACGGCTGTCGGGCTGGGAGCTGCGCTTCATGGCCTGGAGCTGCGCCAAGGGCACAATGTCACAGCCCTGGGGCCGGTGCCACACCGTCTGCTGCGTGATGGCATTGTAGTAGTAGAAGCGGTTGTTGTTCTGGTCGAAGAGCTCCCACCACTGCTTCTGGTCCGACTGGCGCACCTTCAGGTTGGGAGGGGGCTCCCAGCCACACTCCCCAGTCGTCAGGTTGACGTACATCCGCTCCTGGGAGCGGGGCTCAATGATCTCCACCCAGTCTGAGCTGCAGGGACATGAGAGTCATGTTAGTCTGGGCCACCGGCTTGTCTGGGAGTCCTACAGAGCTGCTGCAAGGCATTCAAGCAGCAGATCAAAGCATTGCTTTGTCTAATGAGCTCATGGGAAGATTAGGGGAAGGGTCTGAGAAGGAGCCAACCCAGATCAACAGCTCCCTGGCACAGGGAAGGGAGGTCGCCCCCCTAGCCCAGTCCTGACGTCGGGCTCACACCACTAGCCAAGTGGCATGGGGCGGGTGAGCATCATCTGCTGATGCTCTGGTAACCCCCATCAAGGGCTGGCGCGATCGCGTGAGGGCTGGCACCTGGTGAGACGCACGAGGGAACTTGCTCTCGAGAGCAGCGAGGATCTGCAAAGCAGGATCTGCTCCCTCCGGGAGCTGCAGCCTATTGCTAATGCCACCTCAGGAGAGCAAACCCCTGGCTCCTGACAACACAGGCAGCCTACCCCGTTCTTGCCTGCAGTGCTCACGGGCTGTGGGGCTGGAGAGGACCTCTGGGTCTCCCAGTCCCTGCTTGAAGCCCACACCTGCTTGCTCAAAAGATAAATGCAAGGAGAGGCTGGTGGGTGAGACCATCACCATTGCAAGCTCTTCCCCTCCTCCCTTGGCTGATGGCAAAGCCCTTGGTGGTCCTTTGGGTGGCAGGTGACCCAAAGGACAGGCATGGCCTGCTGCTGGCCTGTGTAACCCCTGTGCCGCCCTGAGGAGTCCCTTCAGCCCCAGGGTCCCGCGCCAGCACCCTCGGTGGCCCAGCCTCAAGCTCAGCAAGAAAGCTGCGAGTTGGTTTTCTGACAGATCAGCGTAATGGTTTGTGGCAACACAAGTGTTGGGTGGCACAGCCCTCACATGTGGCACATCAGCCGTTAACACTGACCCACCTATCCCCGAAATGCTGGCCTGGTGAGAGCAGAGGAGCTCAGTAAAGCTGCTGTAGCCAAAACCATGTTGGCTCATCCCGATAAACAGAAGAAGGGGGTGCAAACCCCAGCGAGGTCTCCTGGGCAGGAGAGATGCTGTCACTAAAGCAATCCCGTGCCCAGCATCGCACTCGAGTGTGCAGCTGAAGAGAGACAGAACATCAACGTACTGCCCAGCAGCTCCTCCATCTGCCTCCTCTGCCCTGCGTCGGTGCAGGCTGCAGGAAGGAGGCTCTACATAACCTTGTTAATAAAAGCCACATAAAGACAACTGGTCCAGGGTCACCCTTGAAACCTGCTCCTGCCCAGTGCCTTGGGGGCTGCTTCCGGAGGAGGACAGAGAAACAGGACTCCTTACCAGACGAGGAG